CATCAATAAATCTTCAGTTATATAGTTGATTACAATTGTGTGACTTTCATGGTAGAAACTTTGGTTTTCTGTAAAATTCTGCTTTATTGAATTGTTAAAAAGTTGGTTGTGTCGAGAGTGCCCTTTTTATTTGGTTTGAAGCACTTAACATTACCAATTCTTTACTGTTTGGCTCATATTTAGTTAATTTTTGGTACTTTCTAGAACCTAATCTTGTGGCAGGTTTCCTTGCCAAGTAAAGTTATTTTTGAAATTCTCTTATTGATCAAGTGCTTCAGCACAATAAGGATATCTGTTCTGCTTTTGGAGTCTGTAGTTTAATGCTTCCTAAACTGATTATCCCTCAGGAAAAGGGTCGGCCACTACCAAAATTTGGTGAATGGGATGTCAATGATCCTGCCTCAGCTGAAGGATTCACCGTGATCTTTAACAAGGCTAGGGATGAGAAAAAGACAGGTGGCAAACCTGAGTCGCCTGGAAAGGCTGATCCTCAAAGCAGGCCTGCAGTAGAACCTGCCAAAACTCAGAGTGTAAGATGTTCTTGATTAAATCTTACTTTTTCTATGAATTGTCTGTTTCTGAACTTACTCAAGTTATTGAATGAGATATATTTTGCCCTCTTGAAGATGCTGGTTTGATTAGATGAAACGTTTTAAACTGACATGAATGCTGCTTCTGTTATTTATTTATATGTTTGTTTATATGCATGCATGCATGTATTTGAGAAACAAGATAGTGGTCAAAGTGATCTATTGTATATTTTGACAGAGAAGATAGTCAGGACCCAAGCCTTTGCCATCTGGATCCAAGACCTGTTGTTGAAACAATGATCTATATAGGTTATAACCTCTACTGTTTTCTTTGTTGATACAGTTCATAACTACAATAGATCTCCATGCCTTGCAACTTTATTGAGGATTGCATCCACGATGTTGTTGCATTTTGAATTTGAGATATAATTTTGTTCCTCATATAAACTGTGGTTAGGATGGAGGTGAGATGTTGAGTGTCAAAGTCCAGAAGAAAAGAAAAGTAGGTTTTGTCTGTTGAACCTGCTATTTTTGTCTCTGCATAGGTGATCTAACCCAGGTTCCCTTGTTTGACCTTGCTATCAAAATTTTCTTCTTCGTGCTAGCTGTGCATGCTTCCCTCTGTTATCCTTGCTGTTTTTCTTCTTTTGTCCTTCCTTTCCTTGGGGGATGTTGCAGTTAACTTTGCCAGACTTCACATGATGAAAATGGAAAGAAGTAATTATCAAGCAGGCTGCAAGTACTCACTTTCACCCCCTCTTGAATGATTCTCTTGATTTTCAGAAAAAATGGTTCTGCTGCATGCAACCTCCCGCGGAGTCATAGCAATGGTTGCGCCTGTGTACAAGCTTGAACAGAAGAAAGTATTTGTGTAACTAGCTCCACCCCTAAATTATCTCGAAGATATAGGAGCTTTAGATGAATTCCACTGGAGTTTAAGATTGTTTGCCATAGCACTGAGTTGCAGTTTGGGGGTGTGCAAAGAAGACAGATTATTATTATTATTTGTATCTATGTGTATTAATGTTGTGGTTTATTGTTAGAATCCCAGATTGCTCACTGTTTTGCCTCGTCTTTTGTTACGAACTTTAGAGAACTCTACGTGGCACCTCGTATTGTTGGACCGTCGACCGAGGTCTTGTTTTGTTTTATGAACTGATTTTATACCCGTGGCTTTGTTGCCTGGGTAAAGCTTAGAACTTTATATGCTTCTCTTACCTTGTTTCTATCATTATTGGTTGTCATTAGCTGGCTGTCCTGTCCTTTCCCAGCTCATACTTTGATTTCAAACTGGGGGATTAATTGGAGATTTTTTCGAATTAGAGCAACATAATAAAATCAAGAGGTTAGATATAATTGATTTATGCCAAGAAATGTGCCTGTGATATGTATGTTTTTCATTCTGCCAACTAACAGCAGGAATCATTGGTCTGTTCTGAACGCTTAGAATCTTCTGGGTCTTGTTAGCCCTTGCTCTGTTTTACTCTCTCTCCTATCTTTACTTTGTCATTTGACACAGTGTTAATTAATTTTTGGATAAACATAATTTTTAGTTCTTATATTTTGCTCGCATTTTGCTTTTGATCTGTATACTTTTTTCCTCTGGTGTTTTAGATCTCTACATTTTTATTTTATTATATTCGATCCTTCTATAAATAAAGTATAGGAATTTTGAAGAGATAAAAAACAATGAAAAATAAAAGTGTAAAGGTTTAAAATATCAGAAAAAAATACAAGGATAAAAAATAAATGTGAGTAAAGTATAGGGATTAAAAGTTATGTTTATCCTTACTTTTTTTAATATGTTTTTTTTGGGGATGAATTTTAATATCCTTATTTAAAGTCATTAATTGTAAGAGGAAATGCTTGTCAAAGAAAAACTATGAGAGCAGCCGTAAAGTGGAATGAGATTAGCAACAAAGTTAATAGTTTGAACATTTCTCCTTAATTGTTGTGAGATGATTAAAAATATCTTTAAATTAGAGGGAGTTCATATTTCTCAAGAAATTAATTTGCTCTCTTTTCTGAACTCACACAATTAATCTTTGAATTTAACTGTAGATTGTAGATTAATATCCAATGGAATATATTGATATATACCCTTGATGGACAGGAACTAAAAGAAATCACAAGGCTACAGTACAAACTCTTCCTTGATACAGCCATGCGTTGTGCTTCCCAGCCACTAGGCCACTCACTCAAAAGGCAAGAGCCATGCACGCATAAAGCAGAATATATAATGGCATCGATAATAAAAATAAAAGAATTGCTATATCAACCTCCCTCTTTTTTTTTTCTTTTTTTTTTATTGCTCGAAAGTCAAAAGGCATCGCATTCTCAGGGCATCTTGTAATAATATACTTGTCTCTGCAGTGTCACTTTGAAGAGATACTACAAAAGGCAATCAAGCCATCATAGAGTTGAAGTAGTAATTCCTCATTTGGAACCCCAAACTGATATTTAGGATGGCATATATACCACCAACCAAGAGTTTACTTTTACAGAAAGCAAACTTTGAATAAAGCCACTTCTGGCCAATAAAAAAACAGCTCCAAAGCCATTCAACTAGGAATATGCAAGTGGGTTATAGTTTTTTGTTCTCTCATTTATTCTTGGATGTACACTAGCTCAGTTTTAATCAAACATGGCCGTGAAATAATTTGAATAATCTAATTTGTTTTGAGATAAAAATTATTTCATATAATTCTGAATCATCAAACTAAATTAAATGATAACTTTTACTTGGAAAAAAATATTTTTGTCATAACATGAATAAATTCATACACTTACCTGAAATAATTTTTTTTTTTGAGGTAATAACTTGTATTTCCATGAATATACCTCAGGTCAAATGGAATATCAATATTTTTTTACATTTACTATCAGTTTTCACTAACTTGTGCCTATGATACAAATTAAATATTTTTACACCATATTTTCACAATTGATGGACGAAATTGTATCATAGTATAGTATTTTATGAGTTTTTTTTTTTCCCCTAATCTATTTAGACTTGGCATAACATATAGGACCCACAACCCCTTAATGGATGCCTAGCCTTCATTACGGATTGGGGAATTTTCGCTTTGTTTTTGAGTAATAATACACAAAATTGCACCATACATAGTGTAATTAAAAGAAACAAATCTAACAAAAACACAATATACCATGTAGAAAAAAATGAACTAAATATAGAGAACTACTGTGGTAGAAAAATTTGAAGCCCAATAATGAGGGTCTACCGTAATATATAAAGAGATATGATACATTATGAAAACTATTTATAGCCTTACCATGGTGGGAAGGAATATACCACAGGAAATAAGGAACGATCTCTCAAAAAAGACAAAACTTGACTTTCCCAAAACACTTAACTTTTCAGATATTAATAGCAACAACTATATATAAAGTGGGGATCCCAATAAAATTTAAGCACTTGCATGTGGGCTAGAGCACATAAGCCCAAAACATTAAAGTTGTCTACAAACCCACAAACAACAATGATTTGCATGATGCATATACTGTCAACAGTAACTTTCAGGCCCAAAAATACTTTCAGCAGTAACTAATCAACACATGATGAACCAATGGGCACTCGGTAGAGTTGGCAAGGGCTACTATCGACATTCGTCAAGGCTAGAGTTTGAATCCTGGAATGGGACAAACACGATAATTAACACGACCTCAAAAAGATCGTCCCATCGATCCCTCACTATTACCGTAAGATCTCCTCGCGGGGAGTTTGGATTAGTCTGAAGCGGGCAATAAACCTGAATACCCCTAGATACCGAAGGGTTTATAAAAAAGATATAAAAAAAACACATGATGACCCTAGGCCCAGTCAAGCATAAAATTAAATCATTTGATGAAGAAATTTGGGATAATAAGTTCTCCAACTTTAACACAAGTCCTAGGTGAAGGCAACATAAATATAAACAACAATACCACACAATACATTAGATATGATAAATTTCTTAATTATATTGTTTAATATATTTATATTTATAAAACAATATGTTCGAACCCTGGGGCGTGATAAACACAATAATTAACACGACCTCAAAAAGGTCATCCCATCGATACCTCGCTATTACCGTAAAATCTCCTCGTGGGGAGTTTGGATTAATCTAAAGCGGGCAATAAACCTGAATACTCCAAGATATCGGAGGGTTTATACACAAAAAAAAAAAGATATTAAAAAAAAAACACATGATGACCCTAAGCCTAGCCAAGCACAAAATTAAATCATTTGATGAAGAAATTTGGTATAATAAATTCTCCAACTTTAACACAAGTCCTAGGTGAAGGCAACATAAATATAAACAACAATACCACACAATAAATTAGATATGATAAATTTCTTAATTATATTGTTTAATATATTTATATTTATAAAACAATATGTTCATGATTTATTCAAATTCTAATAATATATATGACAGTGACTTTAAAATTCAAACTGACATTCAATTAAAAATACACATCAACATTATCGAATAAATATTACATAAAATCAAATGGGAAAAAAATATTTCTGTTCTTTAATTACCAATCACACACTGTAGCAAAACATACGTCACTTATTCCAGAATGACCACTACATGTAATCATACTTATTTGCAAAGGTAATCAAGAACCTAAGTTTAGTGCAAGGCTTTTATGAGAACACATGCACTTAAAGCAAACATTGTAGATCTAATGGCAACAGAGGATGGTAATCTTCCCTTGTCCTTCCTAAAGAACAGTCCTCCGTATATTGGCAAATTGATGAGAACTAGAACCACGCATAACATAACCTGCAACACCATCTTCTCCAAGACGCTAATAATGCCACCTTCACTCACAAGAGCCCCCATTGATACGCCAATAAAGCAAAACAAATTGAGCATGGCAAGTGTTGCTAAGAGAGTGAACATGGGAGAAGAGGCTCCAAACTCCATAATCTCCTTCCCGTAGCGTTGGGAAGCGTCTTGTTCTGCAACTTTAGCCGTGATTGAGAAGCCTGAAGCTAAAGGAAACCCTAGGAGCCTCAAGATACTCTCCGTGAAAGCAAAGGAGTAAGAGCCTGTTCTCTTGTAGAGCCAAATTCTTTGTTCATTCCACCATGCCAGGATTGTGCCTCCAAAGTACAAAAACTCTAACAAGCTGTAAGTGTTTGCCACAAGTGTCACGTACGCGAAAGGTATGAACCATGGGCTTGATATCTGATCAAACAATTAATCCACACCGCAACATAAATTTAATTACTAATAGATAATGTTAATGAACTGATAGGCTAAGTAGAGATGATACGATACCTCTGGAAACAAGGGAACTCCCTTGAGCAGACAAAGCGAAGGGACGACGCAGTAACAAAGAATTGGCAAGGTGTTAGTTGACCAAAAGCAATAGTGACTGTATACCATTTGGTGGCCTAGGCTAAGTTTGCCATAAGCATGCCAAGGAGGACTGTACTTGGAAACCAGAATCTGAAACTCACCCTCAGCCCATCTCTTCTGCTGAACCAATACTTGTTCCAATGTGGTCACAGGTGCTCCCAAGAATGCCTTCCTTTCTGGATTGCAATACACTGATTTCCACCCTTTGCTATGTATAGACAATCCTGTTATCACATCCTCGACTGCACATCCATATAGTACCCCCATCTTCATTCCAAATTTTATTCTTTATATCAGTATTTGTAAACTCTGTGTCATAGAAGTTATATATATATATAGAGAGAGAGAGAGAGAGAGAGAGACCTCAGATCCCCACAGTGTGTTTTGTTCATGGGTGCAGCTAGCAAGAGGCTTTGCTTCCTGTTCTAGTTTGTGCAAGCTTTCTTCCATGAGTTGGTCGTCCTCGTCGTTCCAGTCATTCATAACATTGTGTTGATCGCTACTGAACTTCCTCCCACAAAGAACATCTCTTCTGTGAAAGCAGCCTGTTCCAATGTACAACGGGCCACCATGGCCATCGCCTCCATGCCCTTCCAACTTCGCATACACAAATCAACTCAATCTTCGAAGTTACTATAAATGCATATGATTCAACAACGAAAATAAAAAAACGAAGTGACTGATATAAGACTGCAACCTTACATAAATATTGTTAACTGACCTCGCTTAATATTCGCATATGACTCCCATACAAGTCATTCTTAGTGACACCCACGAAGTGCTGTGGGAACTGCACAAAAGCTATTTCATGGCCTTTCTCTTCATCCATGAAGAAGCACAGTGCATCTCTCACTGATTTTGAGTTGTTCGACATCATGTCACAGTCCACGTTCAGAATAATTTTGCCATTGCTAATCGTTGAAGACACCCTTATCTGCGTTTTCAACCAAGAACCCTCATGAATTATATATATGTATGTATTCTGTGATGAAAATTGATGCGCTACTATACCAAAGAATTCATGGCTCCGGCTTTAAAATGGTGGGGATATTGGGGTCTCTTCTCACGAGCCAAGTACACCAGAGTTGGCATAGCAGACCCTTCTAAGTCTTTCGAATTCTGTGCATCTTTCCTATGAAGTAATATCTATAAGAAAAGAATACCTCAAGGCGTAAGATAATGGCAGATTAAAACAATAATGGATTTAAAATAACATTTGTGAAGTAAAAGGTGATAACAACATACTTGAAGAATTGTGTCGTGGTCACGTCGAGAAGAAAACGAATCCCCCTGAGAAAATCCCTTGTGTTTTGAACGTACATCTCTGGGTACTTGTCCCGACTTGGTTGCATCTTCTATTCGTCTTTCCATATCTTCGTATAGTTTCTACTTGCAGAGAAAGGAATCAGAGAAACCTCCCACATGAGAAACACACATGCACGCGCGCACATATATCTCAATTTACTTATAATAAATATTACCTTAATGGCTGCCAACTCGTTGGTCCAAACAGAGTCATCATGATCTGAAGAACTAGGAAATAAAGGCAAAGTATCAAAATAAGAAGAAGGAGACCTGGGTTCGACGCTGAATCTCTTGCAGAAGGGAAGCCAGTGCTTGGCAAAAGAGCAAGCTTCTAGTAAAGCATAGAAGGTGATCTCTGAGGCAGCATCGTCGGAGAGATACACACTGAGCTTCTCGGTGGGATAGTCGTAAGCCATCAATGATAACACTGTGTTCATCACCATTATTGGTGGCTCTTTCTCTGGGTCTGCCGTGCACACAAACATGTCCACTCTTGGCAAGCTATGCTCGTATCTACCAAGGTAAGATGTGCATATAAATATATATTTGTAGCTATAACTATATAGATGAGAGAGAGAGAGAGAGAGAGGATGAACCTTTGAGAGAGACGGTCGTTGAAGGGACGTCGGAAGACAGGGTTCCATCGGAAGGCTTGAGTGAGAAGCCAGTAGAAGCCGAACCATAGTTCAGCAGCAAACAGAGCGAGCCAAACGAGCCGAGAAGATTTGTCGCCGCCGCCATCTTCTTGTTTAATGAATAAGTGAGAGAATCTGTAAACCCAGATGGAGAATATTCCGGCGAATAAGTAGACGGAGAAGAGCCTGTAGATGAAGAGCTTTCCTTTGGGTCTCTCCGTCTCGAACAGAGCAACATAACTCTGATAATCACCCCTCTGCATCTTTTACTTCGATGCTCCAAAAATATAATATGCATGCACCTTCAATCGTGTGTGTGTGTAATCGAACCCAGTGAAATTTGGCCGGCGACATTCATGGTCCTGTTCGATTTGTTTATGATGCTGTTTTTTTATTTAATTAATAATAATAAAAAATATAATTAATGGTTACGTCGGGTCCACATCAATCCAGCCCAGAAGCTTGGAGGCGTGCTTGGCGGCTGATGAAGGAGACGGAACCTCCTCCCACCACTGCTTCTATATTTAAGTCATTTTCTGGATATAATTGGAAATTTTTGCATAAAAGCCCGTTTAAATGTTAGGTATAATTGATTAATATAATTAATTTTAATTATAATTAATTATGTTATAAGCTGATACTATTTTTTAAAATTAATTTTAATACAATTGAATATATTTAAATAATTGAATTAAAATTAATTTTAATTATATAAACTATCATATAAAACATTACTTTTTAAAAGTAGATCATTGATAATTTGTATTAATATTATTAAATTTATTAAATGTTATTTAAAAAATAGAATATATTATTTAAATTATATATCTGATTAATTATAAAAGTTTAAGTTATATTAATATTAGTAGTGTACATAGAAATTATTAATTAATCGCCTCCGTATAAAAAAAAAAATTAACGATCTGTTTCGAATTTTATGTCCAAAAAGAACGGAACAGAGTAACTGTAAAATCACTGAAAATCTTAATCAAAGATTATCTGCTATTGAGGCCAAAACCAAAATATTTATACAATTCTGAGAAGAATATACGCAGATCGAGAAGAGAAAACTCAAAAACTCAAGCAAAAGATGGAAGAAAAAAAAAAAAATTGGAGGAGGAGAAACTCGAGAACAAAAGATGATGAAGAAGCATCGCGATACTGCCACATAGGCTTCAACAAAAACAAAATTTATATAAGTTCCACATCTAGTTCAAAGAATCGAATCAGTACAAAATAGGAGCCAGAAGCCGAGCGCGAGAAGAAGTAAAAGGAAGGCTATGGAGGATGAGGAAACGAACCCGGCGGGGAACAGGGGCCGAGCGGAACACTTGCTCCACGACCCTCCTCAGATAGTCTCCGAAATCATCTCTTCCAATAACCTCTCACACAGAATGCGAATCCAAAAAAACAAGACGGATCGGGCACAAATCAAAGCCGGCGTACTCTGAAACTATCAAACTGAACACTGAAGTGCCGGACGGGTGAGAACTCACAGCACAACAACGAGGAAGATCGGGTTCGAATTTATAGAATATTGACCTGACTCAACCACCAGGTATTGCCTTTCAACTTGATTCGGCTACGGTCCCAGCGGCGCCACCTTAGAGACGGCGGAGAGACGACTGAAGGAGCCGCAGATCGGACAAAGAGAGAGAGACGCGAGATAAAAATGAGAGAAATAATACGCGTATAATCATACACTGACGGAGGGTGTTTTGCTCAAAATAATAATAATAATAATAATACACTGACGCGGGTGATGTGGATAGGGGAGAGACTGGCTGAAATAATTAATATTGATAACTGTAAAATTCATTTCAGAAGCTGCTAAATCCAGATTATTTTAAAACCCGATTCCAGGCTTATTAATCGATTAATAAGATTTTGTGGCGTTTGGATACTTTTCATTTAAAACGTGATCATGACCTAGAAAATTGATTATTTGCCCACAGGCAGTAAGTCACTTCACTTATAAAGATAAATTATTAATTATTTTCTATCAAATTTTTTGGGTAGACTAAATGTCGTACTTTCTTCCTTTTACATTGTAAGATTTTTTTTTTCTAGCTAAGCTTGATCTAGAATATAAGGACGCATTGTATCTTTTGAAATTATTATTTTTAATTTATCCTTGTATTAATTAATATGAGAATGAGAAATATAATCTGACAAAACGCTTATTTTCACTTTTCATAATAAAAAAAATCAAGGGCAAAAGAAAAAAACATGTCATTTTTTCATGTAATTAAAAAATAATTATTTTTTGTTGGTATGCAAACAATAATTGGGAGCGTCTTTCGATTTAAACCCGAAAATGCGTACGGGAGAAAAGTATTTTTACATTATTCATTAATAAAATAATTAATAGTAAGTTCGGGTCACGTCAATCTAGCCCATATGGTTTCTAGATTAACAAATTTTATTTTATTTTTTATTTTACAATTATTAAAACAAGAATTACAAAAATTTAATAAATATATTTTATTATCAATCTAAACAATATAAATTTAATTTTATGACTCAATTTAATATTAAAATTTTAAAATATTTATAAATTAACTACTCATAACTGTCCTGAATAGTCTAATTTTAAAATTTTTATTTTTTTATATTTTTTAAAAATGTCAAATATTATTTTTATATTTAATATTATTACTAAAATATAAAAATATAAAAAATTTTAAAAATTAATGTTAAATTTAAAATGTTCTATGTACATTTGGACTGTAAATATTAAATTAAAATTTGTATAATTTTTATTTTAATAAATATTAAATAAAAAATAAAATAAAACTTTGTAAATCTAGACAGTCCAAAATAAAAATCTAGATAGTCTAGATTGCATTATATGATGAGCACCATGGTGTCGGGCCAAGCATTTAATATGCTTTTCTTTTATATTTATTGTAATGTCTCAACTTTTTAATTTTATTTTTTTAATTCATTGACTTTACATAAAATAAGAGATATTTTGATGTTTTGAAATTTTAAAATGATAAAAATTTATATTTTTATGATTTTTTAAAAATAAAAGGGTATGATTTTAATTTTTGTTAAGAAATTATAAAAAATATAAATTTTTTTCATTTTAAATTTTAATATATTCAAATATCTTTTATTTTAAATAAAATTTAATAATTCAAAAAAAATAAAATTAAAAAATTGAAGCATTACGGAACGATACATTAGAGGCCCTTTGCCCACAGCATTGATAATGTGATGTGCTCCAAAAACCAATTCCTACTTGGTGGGGGTTCAACTTCAGTGGCGCAAATCATTGTGAGTTTTAAATAGTTTTGATTTAAAATACTATTTTTTATATTTTTATTTTATATGAATTAAAATAAACATTTATAAAATTTATAAAAAATTATTAAATATTTTTACTATTAATGCAGTCCAGTTTTAATATTAATTTGATAAATGCAATATTAAAAATTAAAATATATAAAATTGGAAAATTTTTCAAAAAATTACAAGCTAAAAAATTTAAATTTAGACTATACAGAGTGTATCTGAATAATAAATATATAAAAATTATTAAAGTTTCAAATTAAATTGAACTCTCCAACATATATAAAAATTTCTAAATTAAAAGTTTAGGGCCTGTTTATTTTAGCTTATTTCATGAAAAAATTAAAATTAAAAAATAAGTAGATTTTTTTTATTATTTTAAGAAGCTATTTTGGACATCTTCTAAATGATATGATAGATGAAAAGAGTGTTTTAAAAAAGTGAGATACATGAAGATATTATAAAATTTTAAAATAATATAATAATACATCATTTTTATAAAACAAAAATCAGGAAGGATATCATAAAATTTTAAAATAATTAATTAATAATAATTTTTTTATTATTGTAATCAAATATAAAATAATATATGCTTTTCATAAAATATCTACAAAATAATTTTTTTTATAAAATCTCTAAAATACCTCAATTATTTTTAATTTTAAACAAACAGACAGTTAAATCTAAATTAGATTAATGATAAAAACATTTATTAATTTTTTTAAAATATTTTTCACTTTTATAAAATAAAAATATGAAAATAATACTTTAATTTTGAACTATCTAAATTAAAATTTAAATGATTTATATCTCATCACCATGTTAGAGCTCATCAGGTAGTCGAACCTGCTCAGTGGCTAGATGGCTGCTAGTGATGAACATGATTGATATTTACCCCTTACATTAAGAGACCGGGTCACCGGTTTCCGGGTTGACCCGGCCGGTCCGGTTCGGGTTTTAATACCATGAAAAAAACTGTATCTATGTCAAGTTCACGTCATTTATGTAATTAAAAATTATAATTTAGACAGGATCTTTAGCTGCTTTCCTCTCCCTGGTGAGAGTTCGAGTGCTTCCTTGCACTGATCAGTTTTCCGTTCGGCGACGGCGTCGTGAAGGTGTCGCTCATCTTTTTGTCGTGAGTGTGAGTGTATGTGTGAGTGCTGTGAGAGTTTTCTGTTTGAGTGAGGTGTGCGTGTGTGTGAGAGAGATTATCTTCGAGTGTCTAACAGGAGTGTAGTTGTAGGTGAGGGGTTTTGTGTGCGCGTGTTGGTGTCCTGTGGAGGTAGGGAGGCATGTAAGGGATTTCAAAGCAGTCAAAAGAGATGGGGCAAGGAAGTCTTACGGGACATGGATAGAGGACAAAAGACTTGTTATGGCTCTTTAGTTGGCAGATTGGAAACTGACAAAAACCTCGATAAAGCGGTGGTCATTTCAATGATTAAAGAAGGATGGGGACTGCACGAGGAGGTACAAATTCAAGATGTGGATAAGAATGCTTTTATCTTCAGGTTTGACAAAGCTGAGGATTATAATGGAGTGCTCAGAGGCCGACCTTGGTCCATGCAGGCTCATCTACTAAACCTTCAGTTATGGGACGAGTACACGATTTATAATGAAGTTAATTAATTTCAACAAGTGTTCGTTCGGGGTTCAATTCCATGGCCTTCCCCATGGTTCTTTTGATCGAGTTAATGCCGTTTGTCTGGTTGATGCAGTGGGGGAGACTGTCATGTTTGAGAATCCGATGGTGGAATATGGACGGATGACTCATACCTTTATACGAGTCCGGGTCCTTATTGATCCCAACAACCCTCTAGTGACGGGATTTCGGATTCCTCGACCAGGTAGGGATCCAATTTGGGTTACAGCAAAATATGAGAGGTTACATAATTTTTGTTATCATTGTGGCCGCATTGGTCATGATGAAAAGAACTGTCAACTGCTACAGGAGGATACGGAGGATGAGGAGGAAGAGGAGTTTGGTGGATGGCTAGCAATGTCACGTGTGAAGACTATGGAAGAAGTGGTAGAGGCCCATCGGCCAGAGTGGGTTGAGTGTTTGTCGATCC